AGTTTTGTCCGACAAAGCTCTACAAAAGCGTTGTTAACGACATCGACGACACAAGATATGACAGATGTGTATACCTCGATGTGACTAAACCACAAGGTTCGTAGCGCATGCAAACGACAAAGCGGCGCATGCTCCAGGCCATGCGCCAGCCGCCGTAGTTGCACCAAGAGCTTTTCATGGTCTGTTTCTACGATGCGATTCGGGTTGGCGTACAGCGCGGCGACGGCGCCGACCAACTGGATCGTTGGCGATTCGTCCTTGAGTAGCTCGACGATCGAGACGTTGGGAATGTGAAACAAGCCCGCGCGACGCTCATTGATCTTCCATGCAGCGACACCGACAAGTGGCAGCGGTACAAGTGTATAGAGCAATGTTGAGAGACTCGCGTCGGTCGTCAAGACACAAATGGACGCGAGCGTTGTGTAGATTGCACTTGAGAAGGCGAGCACGCGAATATTGTTGGGGACGCTCCCGCTGCCAATGCACTAGTACATCAACATCAATATTGTCATGAGAAAATTGTACAGATGCATGAGCGAAGTACCGGCTGGGTGCGGTACGAGTACTCGAGGAGGAAGCCCCAGACGACGAGGAGACCAGTAAGGAGTCCGACGGTCTCATTGCGGCTGGCGTCCATATTGCTGGCAAAGATCGCTACGATTGGGCAGACTACACAAGCCAGGCTACATCGGTCATGTCGTATCGAACGGGCTGATATAACTACGTGTCCGGGCCATGACGATAAAAAACTGGTAACTCGGCTGAAAACGAAAGTTCATGGTCGTTGCGAGCGGCTCAACGTGCATCTTGTGGTGCAGCGCGCCGCAATAGTGCAGAACGAATGAGATCAGTCCGAGCGCCTAAACACAGTCTTCGTGAATTGACGCCACAACTGGACTCCATATAGTGCATCGAGGCAACCCAAAAGTAGCCAAAGCGGTCGACGCAGTCGCAGACAAACCCGCTGGGCAACGCGACGTGCTCGATGCCCATGGGGCACGTCCCGAACCGAAGAAAGGTCGCGACCATTGGGATATAAAACAAGTCGAATGCGAGTGGCTGGACCAGTCGGCGTCGGACGGCGCTGCCTACGGGGATGTACACGTTCTCGCTATTTGTACGTGGAGATAGTGTACATTGCTTGATGCTACACAAGAGGAGCAATAGCCCGCCACACGAAAAGGCTAGCAGCGCATCGGTCGCCTATAAGAAATGAGTTTTCATGCCGTCGATTACGTGATACGAACCTCGCGCGTCAAGCTAAAGGCAAACAAGACGTATTTCAATTGAAACACGGAGCCTGTGATGCGAAACGCAAGGCCCAACGATACGAGCGTAAACTGGGGGAGCTCGGCCCACATGGCTATTAGCCGCACCGCACGTTGAAATCGCTTCTGCCGCAACGACCGGTATTTGCGCAGGGATGAAGCGATCGCGATACCTACGACACTCGTAGGCCGCAATAAGATCGTTTATATAGAACGAACCTTGGGCAACGTGGTCATGAACTAAATTTGCATCGCTGCGGAAAAGGCCATGGAGAGCTCCGTTGCGCGAAAACATGTACACACCGAGGACGATCCAAACGAGGAGGTAGAGGCACACGGGCGCGAGACGCAGCCAGCCGTATTCACAGAGACGCCAGTCTGCGATGGTGCATGGACCCTCCCCAGCCTTGTCGGCTGTGAAGCACTGGGGCATGTGGACGAAAAGAGGAACTGGGGTGGGATTTTTCGGAAGGGGAATACGATTGTACTATTTAAAGAACGCGCACATGAGTTATTTAAAGATCGCACGAGGATTGGCATCGGGTCAAAACACGTGTCAAGAATATTTCGCCGGTTAACGATAACATTCTTGCGATGCGAAACAATATTCCCGACCATGAGTTCTCGTTCGCATCGCAAACGACCTAAAGTTGCATCGATGACACAGCGTGGCTGCTTCTAATTGACTGGAATTGATTTTGTAAGCCAGTCAGCCGATGAAATCTGGTTGGAATTGAATTGTGCCTCAAAAGTTTTGAGGCACAATTCAATTCGAACCAGCAAAGTTTTGAGTCATAACTTTCCAGTACTGCAGACGCAAGGATCAAGATGTCAGCGTTCAAGATGGAACGCGGTCATGCGGTTCGAAAACCAACCATTTGCCGGACACCGTTTTCGTCGAGCCAACAATCTTTTTCACCGATATGCGCGATCCACTGCGGCGAAAGGTTCTTGGCAGAGTAGCAGACAATATATTATGTCCAAGGATCCGACAAACGAAGGCGCCAGCGCCAGGGGTACCCCCGGCCAGCGTCTCAAGAAAAACTATCTGACTCGTCATAGTATGTACCATTTCTATGACATGTAGCTGATGTCGTTGCCGCCACGTACTAGTACCAGGTAGTAGTATGCCAGATGTGAGCTATCATTTTCAGTTTGATCAATTCTTCGCGTGCGATTGTTTAATCGTCAACAAATTACCAGCCAGCTCAGTTGCCTTGGACCTGGTTCGTATCGTCGTTCTCGCTGGAAGTGCTTAATGGCAAACCACTTTTAAGTACCGGCAACTGCCCTTTACTTCAAATGGACTCGGCCATTTTTCGCTCGGTAGTCCCGGGCGGGTTCGTCGCGCCATGCCAGGCTGGACTAGCTGGCTAGCGCAGTCAGCTAATCAAGTCGGCTAGCGGGCTCATCATGGGTGCTCCATGCGCACCAAATCACCAAGGCAGCGTTCACCTCCCCCTGGGTTCATACACTTCGATGCTGGTCATCAAGTTTCACGTACAAATGCAAAGCGAATTCATGTACTATTTTTCCTATTGGTGTGAGAATCATCTCGTTTTCAGACGATGCCACCACTTGGACGCCGGCGCAGTCGCGCGTGTGGTCATGTAGTGCTCAAAGAATGTGCGAATCGCGGGGTCGAGTGTCGTTTCAATGTAATCGCGCAGCGCGCACTCGCGTGGTGAACGGTAGAGCTCGACGGCGCGCTCGATGGCGTCGCACGGCTTCGTACGTGCTTCGTCCGACGACTGGAGCTCGTAAGCGCGCTCCAAGATCTGACAAAGTGTGTGCGTTCGGTGCGTCGTAGTTTGGCGGCTGAGAGGACTTCCATCTTGGTCACACCGACCAAAACCGACGGTGTGTTTTCTAGACCAGCCCCGACGCTGGCCCTTCTCGGTTGGCGTGGTGCCGATGCTTTCATAGGGCTCGTGTGCATCGTGGTACCCTCGGCAGGCTGAAGCGACACGTCGCTGGTTGCGTCAATGGCCTTTGCAATGCCAGAGGCTACAGCAAAGGACCCCACCTTGGTTTCCTGACGAACGATTGTCACCGATCGTTGCTCGGGACCACTTCTGTTTCCGGCGCACGTCTCCGCCGATGACGGGAGTTTGATCCAGTTGCCGTCGCAAGAGACCGCCGCCGCAGAAACGGGCGTGGTCTGACTCGATATCGGCGTGACCGCGGTCGGTGTCGGCGTGTCAACGATATCACACGCCATTGGTTCGACCTGCCGCCGAGAGGATTCGGATGGAAGGGGATGCACCGAGTTGTGGCTGCGGGCAAGCCTGGCCGCCTGCGCAAAACTGAGCTTTTTACTCGATGGCGTTCCACGACGCGGACTGCCGCCCGGCGACACCAACGGCTGGAGCCCGTCGTTGACGTCTTTCGTCAAGGGCGCCGAGTCGTCATGTGGTTTGACATTCGTTGGCGAGGCGCTGTGGTACTTGGACTGACGCACAGCACTAGCTATAATTCCGTGCAAGCTGCGTAAGGCTGGCTTCGGTTTTGGCGGCACTGGTTGGATCTCAAAGAGGTACGTGTACACGCGCTCAAGACAGTCGCTGATCCGGTACACGTGCGGCCAGGCGGCCAGCGCCACCTCGACGCTCTCGATCGCTGCCGGCGTCCAGCGCCGCGGTGGTGCCTGCGTCGTCTTGGCACACTCCACGATCAGCGCCAATATCGAGGCGCACTTGGTCACAGTCGTCCGACTTTGCACTTTGAGTGCAAAGGCAAAGTGGTCGACACACCCGGGGTGCTCGAGCCAGAGACTCACGGGTGTGACCTTGTCGAGCGTCGCGTTGTACAAGCTGTGGGTAGCATCGATGATGTGCTTGGTGGATCCGACCATGCAGAGTGCGGATAAGATCTGGAGGTAGACGACATGCTGGAGATAGAGGTGGCCGGTGCGATTACTCACTGGAGAAGGAAGAGCGCGCATTCACGCATGGCGACGTGATCTTGATGCACACAGCTCTGTGCCCAAATGTCGAGCGCCAAGCGAAAGAGACTGTTGGCTGTCGCGACGGCGTCGTCGGGCGGTTGAGATTGAGAGAGCCACGGACAACCGCGAATGATGACGATGTGACACGGTGTGGGATCGTTGGGCGCCGTGGTACTCGTGTTCGTGGAGCAGCGAACCGAGTCTCGTTGTTTCGATTTTTGGCTCTGGATGCGCTGATGCACTTCGCTGACCAC